TTCCATAGATTCAGATATTCTGTATGATGTAATTAAGAAAATAGTTATATAAACAATATTTTATTATATTATTGCATTTATGCAATAGGCCTTGACTATAAAGTGAAACTGATTCACTGAATTAGTTTTTTCTAAATATATTCTGTAAAGTTTGTAAAAATAAAGTAAATATTAATTTCTGTTGCTTAAATTTCAAGAAGATTTATGTGAGTTGAAAAAGGTCATTTGAGGAAGGAGGATCCAAACAAAAATGATGACTTGTCTACCTATACTTTCCTTAATTTTCTTTATTTTCGTATCATCTAGAAATGATTATATATATGGCAGAAAAACAATTTTAAATACTCAGTAGTACCATATAATATGTAGGATTGTGAAATAAAGTGTTATTTTCTTGTCTACATTAAAATTAGATAATAATAGACATGTGCTTGTTAAGAGTTAAGTTTATTCACATAAGACATAATTATGTTGGTGAATGTATAAGGAAATGCACACATGCACACTACTTGTAAGAGTGTAAATTGGTTCAGATTTTCAGGTCATTTTAAAAGAGTATTTTGAAAGCCTTAAAAAGACTTATTCTCAAATATTTTAATTAGGAGTTAATACTAAAGAAAGAGAGACGTTTGTAAAGATAAACATAGAAAGATGGTCACAGCAGCAGCATCCTCTCTCCTTTCCTTCTTTCTCTCTTAAATGTTTTTAGGGTGAATTTTGAGCCACATTACAGAAGACAGAATATTAGAGCACCAAACATCAAACACGACCAACTCATAGCCAACCCTGCCCCATTCTGACATCTGTCAGCTTTCTCCTTATATTTTTTGTAGTAAATCCAAGTCATATTATTTCACCTGTAAATGTACCTCAAGAAATCAAGACTCTTTAAAAAACCATAATTTTGTCACTGTACCATTATTATACCGAAGTATTAATAGTAATTCCTTAACATCATCATGTATCCAAGCACTTTGTTTGAATCAGGATGTAGATAAAGTCTGTTCATTACAATTGGTTGATGTATCTTTTAAGTCTTTTTAAATTTAAAGCTTCTTTTCCATTTCTTTTTTCACCCTTTGTACTTTTTTGTCAAAAAAACTGAGTTGTTTGCCCTGTGATTTTCCCAGTTTGGATTTTGCTGGTGCATTCCTGTGGTATAGCTTAATATGTTCTTCTGTTTTTTGTATTTGTTGCAAGTTGACAATTGCATCTGTAGTCTTAGTTAGACAATTGCATCTATGGTCTTAATTTTTTTTTTCCCTGCAGAATTGCTTTATGTTCTTCTATCTGGTGGCACATAATGTCTGCTTTTCTCTGTTTTTTGGTCATATTGGCAGCTATTGATGATAATGCCTTTATCTCTTAGTTTATTTGGGGTTGCAAAACAGAAATATTCTAATTCTAATATTCCTTTTTCATTTATGACTTGGAATAATCTATGAGGAAAAACTTTCCTATACCTACTGTTTAGTGACTACATGGCCTAGTTTGCAGTATTATTCCTAATAGGACAAAACTGGAAACAATTAAAATGTCCAAAAATAGGTGATTTGGCTAAATTATGTTATAGCTGTATGATAGAATTTCATATAATTACTTTAAATCATGTTTTAGAAGAATACCCAATAATATGGAAAATGGTCAATATATTAAATTTATAAAGCAGTAGTAAATAATAAAATAGTGGTATGCCATGCTCATAAATCTTTTTCCAAGTATTTTCATATAGAAAAAAATCCTGAAAGAATAAAGACCAAATATTTGTATTATAATTATTACCTTTTAGTAGTAGAATTAGGATTTTTTAAATGTTTTCTTCTTTATACTTTTTGCTTTTTTCAACTTTTCTGTAAAGATTATGTATTTGTTTTACAGTAACTTTTTTCCTTTTCCTTTACCATTTGTTCAAATGAGCAAAATATGGTCTAGGGACTGGATCTTCTCTAGTTGGCTATCTTGTTCCATCTTTTAACCTGTAAATTTAACCTGTAGAATGGTTGTAATTGCAGAGGCACAAATAGATCACTGCAATCTAAATTAAGTGCTATCTCTCCTAATAGCTTTTTGTGATAGATATGTTTCTTATTATCTTTGTACACTCAAATGCCTTGTACTGGGCCTGGCACAGAGCCGCATTAATAAATATCGTGAATAGAACAGGTGCTAGTGTAGGCCCAACATGTTGATGGCTTATGTCCAGTTCATTGATGCTCCTTTATCCAGCACAACTTACCCTGCATGAAATATTTCCACCTCTGCTTTTTAGAGAGCAGATCTCTGGAGATCTAATTTGAGAAGGAATCTCTAATTTAGAGTCTGTGGATTTCACAGAGGGTTGAGCATTTCAAATATCTCTCACTATCTCATGAACAATGATCAGTCCTCTTGATTATTGTATCACTCATCTAAAATCTCACCATAGTATAGTCTTTCTTGTTTCCAGCGGTCTTCTACAGTTTTTTTTTTATCTTGTTCTAAAATATTTTAATTTTTTAGGGATAAAAACATTGTGGTTCATTTTTAAACTTGGTCAAATCTAGTTTCATGCATGTCATTATTTTGCCTATCCAAGGAGACAACAGTTGCATCTTATACTACTTAATTTTCAGTGTCTAGCACTATGCTATTATGATGGTAGATGTTCAATGCATAGTTGTTGAATTAATTAGGATGGTGCTGTTGGATTATTGCTATAAAGGTAATACTGTTATGATCAGTAGTACTTAGAATGGAAGAGGTTAAAGAAAAATAGTCTTTAACTACATCATCCTCATTGAGTTGCTAGCAAGTTAAAATTTAGTGTGGGATCAGAAATTAAGAATTCCTTGAAATACTAATTCGTTCAAAAATGTTAACTGAGTGCTTGATATTTGCTACATATTGCTCCAAATGTTAGACATACAA